GCCACATGCTTTCAGGTGGGAGGGGGCTGAGACCAACCCTTGCACTGCAGCTGGAGGCAACGCCACAGCAGGAAGGGATGGGGGTGTAATGCCTGCCAGGGAGAGAACTGCCCAGGTTGTTAGCTGCCAGCAAGCTGCAGGTGAACCAGACACAGACCCCTCTCTAGGGAGCACAGAGAAATGTGTCTCAGGAGGGGGCCCAGAGGAGGAAACTGGGGGAGGAATAGTGGGGGTACAGGAATGTCTCCTCACTGGTCAGTTGGGAGAGGATGCCCAGGACAGAAGGGCTGAGTCAGCATCTGTGCTCCCAGGCACTCAACCCATGAGCCAGGTTTTGAGAGGGAACTGTGTGACCGACTTCCTGGAGGGGAGCAGTCACACAGCTGACTTCTCAGGGACAGAGAAAGGGGTGGCGGAGGGTACCCCAATCCAGGTCCTAGTTTTTCAGGATGCTATTTCTGAAAAGTTTTTGGAAAGTAACTGTGCCTCTTTACATCAAGATGCAGCTCCAACGCCTGTGACGGCAGAGGAGTTGAGACCAAGAAATTGCCAGGTGGGAGTTTGTGAGAACACAAATGACCCAACTGGCAGAGAAGGGGGTGTTTCCCCCAAGCTGGTGAGACACAGAGAGCAGTTATGGGAAAGCTGCAGAGAAAAGGTGAATCTGATCGAAGGGTAAACACACCTACCCAGAGAGCACAGATCACAGCCCTCTAGTGGGCAGGGAAGGACTCAGTGCTGGGAGGGGGAAACACAAGGGAACCCCAAAAAGGGAGCTGGATTTTTTGCATATGTACAGTCCTGGGGTTGGGAGACAGCTCCCCAAAGGGCCAGCCAATATGCAGGATCTCCCTAAACTCCTATCTTGCCCGACCCTGAGGTACCAAAATCCCAGACACATAATTAAAATAAGAACCCAGGCAGAGGGGAACACTGGAGGGAAAGAAAAGCCAGTGACTGTTTACATGGGAGAGAGTCAAAGGACACCATGGGTAATGAACGAAACAACCTCAAACCAGACTGTCTGAACAGGGGGAGTGGTATCATAATGATATTTGTAAACACCCATCTGTGATAAAAATGTTGGCATAAATGTTAAATCGTGGGATAAGAATTTTGATACTGATGTTAAAACTTATGGTAACGCTAGTTCTCAGTTAATACCTGGAAACAGATTTAAAGCTTATCACAGCAGAGAAACCATAAAAAAACCTAGTTTGCTGTGTGTGAATGGGGAAACTGAGGCACACCGCCTCATGGCCTTGATGGCTGGATGCCAAGAGAACCATAACACAAACTCCAAACTTCTGCACTGGAGCCTGATCCTGCAGGAGTTTGACATGGAAATTATACACATAAAGGGAAGGTAGAACCTGGTAGCAGATGCCCTGTCCAGGAAAGAGGACCCTGGGCACACTACCTTCAAACTAGTCAGTGACTAACTCTCTTGCAGTAAACTAACGGGGGAGGTGTGACACTCTGTACCTCAGGAGAACACCCTGCACCCTGATGTTCATCCTTATAATATGATTGTGTGGTATCCAATGCAAAGTTTGTCATGTTGGGTGTCTTCAGAAGGCTCATGATGCACTGAGCATTGTTGTTATAGTGATGTTATAGGTTGTAATTTCATGTATATAGTTATGAGGCTCAAAATGTGTCCTCGTGGCTTAAAACAAGCCCAGGTAAAACTCTCCAGGAGCAGAGGGTCAGTTCACACCTCATCAGGGCATGTATGGGAGAAACCCAGCCCAGCCTCACAGGAACAAAGGACGCTGGCCTAGGCAGCAACAAATGATCTGCTGGACTCATGAGTGAGTCACCCCCATTCCTTTGGTGAGTTTGGGACTGCAGTGAGGTAATGCTCACCTGACTCTGAAAGGGGGGGCAAAGCCAAGAGGGAAGAAAGAACATGATAAAAGGGAGAGACATTTGCCATGCTCTTCCTCTCTCTTCCACCTCCATCTACAGACACCACCACTAAGCGACTGAAGCGCTGATCAAAGGGGAGAGCCTGGCCGAAGAGCAACCAGCCAGCCTGGTGTGAGAAGCATCTAAGTTTGTACAGGCACTGCAAGTGTTAAGATCAGCTTAGAATGCATTTTGCTTTTATTTCATTTGACCAAATTTGTCTTGTTATGTTTTGACTTATAATCACTTAAAA